TTAATATATATATATATATATATATATATATATATATATATATGTCATATATTTCTCGACACCTCCATAAGTATGCAACTTTCATACGCGTTGGAGGCGTAGAAATCGATTTTTTGTTCTACGAACTTGGTGGTCACGAGTGCAGAACCCACAGTCGACATGGCGGTACAAAAAACTATTCATCAGAAGGCTCTATCCAAGATGAGTGTACTAAAAGACTTTCTACCACATAGACTGGAGATATGTTGATATTTGTTGCCATTTCATCTACTTTCCTGTTGCCTTGCTCATATTCCCTATACTTAGCTTCTGTCCTGTCCCTGAAATCGTTCTTTACCTTCTAATAGAAAGGAAGAAAAATAATATTGAAGTGCTTTCAACATTTAGCTCTTTGCAGCAATCTTGGATATGTGTTGAAATTTTGCTCGAAAAAATTGTGCTGTAGTTGCTTAATGAATGAATGTCAATTGTCTACAAATTGTAAACAAGCTAATGCAATCTTTTTATGTTTTCTCCCAATTTTTATAGAAACAGCAATTAATTCTTAATTTATATGAATTAATATGATTTGCCTTAGATTTCGCCTAGTTCGGATTGAATTTTTAAAACTTTTTCGCTAAACCAACGAGAATTTGTTTTTATTTTTTTCTTTCCCATTTGCCATATCGACTTGCAGATCGTGAAACATTGACTGAAACAACATTTTACCTTTTTTTTTCATTTTCTGTCTGTTAGTAGAGCTAAAAACTCCATTACTGCTAATGGATAGAAATTGGTAGGAATGTTTGCCCTTAATTTGAATATTCTGCTTGTTTGAGACACCTTAAAGTGCGCATAACAGTGCCGGTCGTAATTTGAAAAAAATGGCACAACTATCATCTGAGAAAGCGCGTAATATGCAGTTTTATCTCATCAGTATACTCTTTTATTGTACATTCCAATTCATTAATCGATTCTTTCCTTTCAGCATCTCATCGAGTTGGTGAAGAAGACCATTGTTTGCCTTCAATTTGCTAAGGTACGTCACTCTTGGGGTGAATTTACATATTTTCGCTCCCCTCCCCCCCTCCCCCCCCCCTAATCACTCCTCGATTAACCACTAGCCTCGCCTTAGATTTTTTTCGAGTTGTCAAATTAGGATAAACATTAATCAAGAAAAGCGTGGTTAACTTTGGAAATATATAATTTTTAGGGGGTGAGGGTGGGCAAATTCATAAAATTTTATGATACGTACTGGAATTAGAATAGGTAGTGGATTCAAAATGAATTGGCTTATTGAATAATACAAAGATGGGCATATTAACTTTCGATATGCATGAGTATAACTGTATGAGTATAGTTCCTGTTTAAGTTATTTATGGTGAAATGAGGAGGGAGGGGGAGGGCGGTGGGGGACTGGTATGGACCGGAAAGGAATCGAGACTTTTCACCATTTGAAAGTAATGTTCACCTGTATTTTTCCCCAACAACATTTGGTGTAATTAGCGATTACAAGTACCTTTTTTCTGCCACAAGCATTCAGCCAATCATAAAAAGAATCAAACGTAACCTTGAAATGAAACCCATTCTATTACATATCACATTGCGACGCCAGTTCACCTGAAAAAAAACTCATGATGAGACGAATATAAATCAAATCGAACAAATCTTCTGTGCGTTTTTGACTTCGGTGTACTGGTTGTTTTCTATTAGAATGTAACCAACTTATTTACAGTATTTTTTCCAATCCCAGGAATAATGTTATATTGCGTTGAAAGTTTTTTTTAACTTTTGTCTTACTCAACTGTAACAAAATTAGGTTAAATTCCTTGTGAACTGTCATATCGATTTACTTTATGACCTATTTCCTTCGTAAAGTTGTCTATCTATCTTATAATAATTTAACAAATAATTAAAAAATTACCTATCTATTTAGCTTTATGAGGTCCTTCTTGCATGCCTATTGTTTAAGTTATTGCCTCTTGAATGACTCCAGATATTATTTAAATTCAGGGTGTATCTTTCCGTTTAAGAAACCTAGAAGATTCCGATGACCTAAATTGTGTCACTTTGGGTTGGACATTCGTTTACTTATAGTCTTGTGTTCAATGCTTTGTATTATTATTGGATACTTTTCTCACACGTCCTAGTATTAAGCGCCTAGTTGAAGTTTGGACAATCGAATCAATGAAACTTTTAATTAATTATTCACGTCTATTTACATTTCCTCCCTGTATTCAAAGGAATTGTTGATCAAATTTAAATGGAATGTGCGTTGCCGAAATCCAGTGACTCGAGATAGCTTCAATTTTGTTGATCCCGATTCTTGCATACTCGAAGTTGGTTATTTTAATGTTTCCACGTACTGTGTCACCTCTAGGTTACATTTGGACCCATTTTACCATTTTTACTGGTTTCATTTGGTTGATCTTTGATGGGGGGGGGGGGGGGATTAGGGAGGAGGGGGTTTCCTAGGCCAATATTTTCCTATCAATTTCTAGATTGTACCCCTTTTCATTATCCTCACCCACAACGCTCTCACTCGCACTTCTTTGATCGTCTTATTTGGTTTTCGTTTTCATTTCTTTTTACAGGAGAACCCCAAAACATCTATGGTCAATCTATGCACTAACGCACTTGCTGATGGTTCGTCTTTCATTGTTACTTTATTTTTCAAGCATGATAACTTTTTTTTGCTTTGATACTTGCTTTATTTGTGGCCTGTACTTTCATGCCTTCGTAGTTTCTGTAGTCATGTGTTCCCGGTTCATATAGGTCTAGTTAATGCAAGTTGGAAATCGCACACATAAACACTATAACGATCACTTAAATTACTATTTGTCGATTTTAAATTTAAAACGGGGTAAGCATCCTCTCAAGTTATTGAGTAACAGCAGTTTTGCTAGGTGCTCACAGTATCTCAAATCAAGTAAGAGGAAGAAGACAGAGCACTTGTAGGTCATTTATCGTCTTCCTTCATTATCAGAACCCTTCAATTGTCTGTGTGTGAATGTATCTGTGTGCTATGAGATTGATTAGTTGTCTGGTTGACCAGAAGCTAAATAATGACGGATGTGCTGCCTGAAAACGAATTCTTCTTTCAGAATTTTATGAATTTCGATTCGAATAACAGCGATATTTCACCCTTCTTCCTGTGAGGAGGTTTGTTGTTAGACATTCTCAAAATAAATAGCCAAATTAATTGGCCTCATTAATGAGGGTCGTATAATCTTTTGTGTTTAATCTGGCACACTCAGTGTGCAATTCAATATTGAACTATTTTTCGTAGTGCTTTTGTTAACCGAAGGTTTATTGTTTTGTTTTGCTCCTTACATGGGAGACTTCAAGTCTATTCCTGATATTTCTCATGTTTCGAAAATGATTGTGCATTGTCTTCCAAAAGTACGATAAAGTTCACACTGTTATGCTTTCTAACATAACTAGTTCAATCAATCTATTCAATTCTTACTTTGGACACCATTCGCGCTCGTAGTTAATCGGCTTTGAGGGGGGGGGGGCAAATAATATCCCCACCCCCTCCAGTCCTTGATTAGCAGCCGAAAATGTGGAATGCTCATGGTACATCACATTCTATTGGAAACATTGGTTCCACTCAAACTGATGTGTGGTTGCATTTTCTTGCTAATAAAATTCCCCACAATGTAAATCCCAAGAAACAAAGAGAGTGTTCACATGTGTCCAAATTGATCCTCGTTGGTTCAGTTTTCGGTTTAGAAGATACGGTTGGGTTCCATTTAGCGTACCCAGATTCGAACACCAAGACGAGACGTCGTCCGATACCACGGTGTGTAATGGATCAAGAGTCACTTCCACCGTCTCCTCTTCTTGCCTTTTCACACTGTCAACGAGTTGGTCATTCGGAGCATTGAGATTTGATGGAGAGTGCGCAAAGTAGGCATTTCGAGTATGAAAAGAGGCCTTAAGTAGAATAGAATAGTAAAGTGGGCAATATTTTCGGGCTCTGACTGGTGAATGGATATGACCTCAGGCCACTTTGAATATGGATCCACAGGGTAAGATAGGAAACCACTTGAACAGGCTTAGTAAGACTGAAACCGAAATGGGACAAAATGACTTCAATTGAGAATAGACGTGGGGGGGGGGGGGGGGGGGGAGGTGGCATGGGAGAAATGAGAGGAGGCATCTTTTTGACCTCATCTGTATTTGGTATAACTACCGTTGGTACTGTTGACTTGAAGTTAGAAAGAAGTTGAGGAAGACCGAGTTCATTGAGTTGATTACATTCATCTTCCATCCGTGGTGATCGCTCAAGATGGGAACAGGGAGTGAGTTGAGCTTGAATACGTCTAGACTGTGAAAGACGTATTCGAGTGTGGATCATGTTGGAGGACTCAGGAGCTCTTGGGAGGACAAAGTGGAACCATCTCACTTATGTTCTTCTAGGGATTGTATTTGAGTAGTCAGACGATAAAGGGAACAGAAAATCGTTACTTAATGTTGCATAGGTTGGGTAGGTAATCTTGGAGATTTGTCGTGTTGGAGGACCTTAGACATGGAAGATTGCATGGAAAGGGAGAGATTATTCATATTCACAGCTTTAAATTATTATAGGGTGCCTGAACAGGAGTAGAAATAGGAAGTATCACAAGCGGTGATAGTCTACAGGAGGTGGGGAAGACTTTAATGACAAGTGTGTGGGTGTGTGTCTTTTAGTTTTAGAATCGTTCTTTTTATTCTTTATAACTTATGCAAATGTAATCATTTCACACTAACTGCCTAAAATGATTTTATTTACTATTACCGCCTTTCATATAGACACCTTTTTACTATTTGTAATTTTTGCGAAATTTATTGTATGATTGAATGTCTCATGTTGCCATGTAGTAAACTATAAGTAAATAAAATGAGCGGTCTGATAACTCAGTAATTTCTGAGTGCCTTTCCTTCCTGTTTGCATACATGTCACGTTGACCCACTGTTTTGCCCATACTTGTTGAACACTATTAACCCTTCTGCGATTCGTAGAAGCTGTCACATTGATGTCTCGGGTCCTGGTTTGTGTGTAAAGCATTTGAATTCATTGCTTTCGGAATACTTCAGACCTGCAATTTTGACCCACACTCTGAAGTCTCTACCTAGCCGTATTGACCTAATTTGCATTTTGGCTTCTGTTCTTTCTTTTTCACCTATCCAGCTGACTGTGTTCCAAGTGGTCTTAATACCTGCGCAGTTGACAAACCCACATTCTTATTCATAATGCTACTGAAATGAGCATTTTATCCGTCATATGAGTTGCGCTTTCTTTAGCTGATTTAGTAATCTATTTCAATATGGCAGTATACTCCGTTGGCACAAAGGTTTTTGTATTCATCAGCACTCGCCTTGTGTACAAATTGGCTAAGTAAAGATGCTGGACCTACTTAATTCCTGTCCAGAGGGTTTCGTGATGTTTTTCCTCTATTATTTAACTTTGGCCATTCCTAACTTTGTTTTAGGGTGGGTCATAGTTTTCTTTCGTAGATTGTGCTAGAACTGAGAATAATATTCTCCCCTCATCTTCTTCCCCACGTAGCTCCTATGCGTCAGCTTGTAGGAACCACCGGTGCTGTTGGTTCAATCGGTCTGACTTATCGCTCTCTTGGCAACACTCTAGTCTCCCCCACACCCGCTAACGACCGAACATCAGGAGAACCTTGCCCTCAGAATCAGCCCCTCCCCAGCCACCACCATCATCGTAGTTGGTCACAGTCAGAGAAGTGCGTCATTGAAGAGGTGGACGGTGGAATCGTCATCACAAAGTCGTCCACACAGCCGGTTTCTGCGGTAGTACCCCAGCCTGAAGCACACCATGAGAAGCATCACCTGCATTTGCGAGATGTTCCAGCAGTGTCTTATTCGTCGTCGGAAGAAGATGATGACATTTACTATGATCTGCATGAGAGCGAATCTGATGACACGTATGCTCTTTTCACGGTTTTTTTTATAACGGTTACTCTGAACAGCCATTGAAAAGCTTACTAAAGTGAATATTAATTGTGATCATATTTACTAGCTATTCTTTTATTATGAGTTTGTGTAAGACAATTTTTTTTCTTGCCAATTCTTCAACCAACCATGTTACCCTTCGACCGACCACAACGCTTTTGATTATAATGAAAGTCCTAAAAACAAAGCGATGCCGATTGTTAATCGGAAATCTCAATAAAATTTTACCTGTTTATAAATGGTCCAGTTACCATTTATGATAATCTAATCACCAACAGGGCATACTTTTTCATTGTTTGGGAAATATTTTGAACCCGTTTGCTTAATCAATTTTGAAGGTTCTCAAACGCATAAACCTAACACAGCGACAAAGCTGCCAACATCTGTTGCTCAATATGAGCTGACTACTTAACACATATGGTGCTCTCATACTCTACAGACCAATTTTCACTCTCATTTTCCCATAACTACTAAGACCTTCAATGCTGACACAGATTTTGCAAGCTCGCTAAATGTACAATTGATTTTCATTATTATGAATACACGCTTCCTGCCCTGCGTCGTACAAATTTGTTTCCCCTTCAATGAACATTTTGCACTGTTGGCTTTTTTTCGATTTCTTTTAAATTGGCTGATGTCATTTCTCGAAGGGACTTGGACTTTCGTTCAATTCTAAGATATCATTACTAACTGCTATCGCACCCTGCTTGCTCACATTTTGCACATTAACACTATGAATGTTTATCTTTTCGATGGATTCACATCCGGTTATAAATCATTGGTGTATTTTTTACCAGTTTTATTTGGAATAGTTACTGTTCTTGTGTTCTATAAATTCTCTGTGTCTCTATTTTCTCCTTAGTTTGGTAGTTTATGTTCACACGCACGAATCGGATGAAGGCGGACCGACCGTCATAAATACATTCACTGAATGGGCCGTTTTGTGTGGTTCGGTAGTGGTCTCATAGATGACGCGCATGCCATTCTCTACTTTTTCTTTCTGGTCTCCTTCCAGGTATTTCTGATTCCACCTATATTACGTCTATGCGCTTATTGATGTACTATTCGGGTAGGCATTTGTTTTTAGGGCAATGTTAGTTTAAAATTTTTAATCATCTCTGCTTGGAGACATGCACTTTTCCTTTTTTATAAGGTACTTTGAGGGGACTTGCAATGAATCTGCTATCAACGTTGAGGCTAATAGTCAGATACGTGGTATTTTGGACATTCCTGTGGTTTATATATTTTTGTTGCCGCCGGAAGTTGTTCACAAACAGTCTTCTTGATCATTTTGCCTGAGGAAAATAGTGCTCTTGTTGATGGTGCAATAATTCTGCTTCCTTTTCCGCTAGCACTTGCAATTCACGTTTTTGCTCAAGTCCCACGGAGATTTATTCCTTTAGAAGCAGGAATTGACGTTGCTGACTGGTTCCGCCTCTAAGACCCTGCCACATTAAGGACTTCCTCACTGCTTTCTGATTTGTCTCCTCGCTTCTATTGTCCAATTTATTCGTATCCTCTGATTAGTAATGCCAGTGAGTCAGAACTAAGTACACGCTACCAAAACGCGAACTAGTGGGGATGTACTGTCCGACAAAGCACGGCGTCTCATCACGTCAATTTAGTCTTTTTCTTTCATGCCAAGGTTATTAGCGTTGAAATTTGTTTATTTACATCGAGCGGAGTACCTAGATTTGGAATAGTGATTTGAATATGGCACGTATTTTTTTTCTCCAGTTTTAGCAACTGAAATAGTCTGCTACAGTTGACACATCGTTTGTGCATCCATCGTGTCTTCTATTTCTGACCTAGGCTTACTGCCTTCATCTCGCTTTTTGAAAGTATTCATATCACCCCTTTCTATCTTATAGGATTATTTCAATGTCCTGAGTGGGAATAATTAGTTTTGTCTTACTTTTCGTATCTAAGATCAAATGACCGTCAAGTTGACTAATCAGGTAACAAATTAGTATCCCGTCATCCAAATTGTATATATATATATATAAAGAGGATACTTTCCAAGTTGAGTGAAGAAGAGCCTCTGGGTGGATTTACAAGTAACCCCCTTCCTTCACGGCCAGTACGGGGCATTGAGAGAAACGACAGTTTCAAATTGTAGAATCCAGGTGATAGCTTAAGCGTGACATCCCTATCCTTTCTTATGACTCAAAAGTCATTTGTTACTGCCTCTCAATATGTTCTTTCATAATTTAATCTCATGCTCTCTTCTTCTCTAGTTTAAATCGTGAAGAATTCAACAACAAGTCGAATGTTGAAAAGAACGAGTCCGAGGGTACAAATGAAGCACAGGAGAAGTTGACCGGCCACTTTGGCTCCTTGCAGGTCGAGCCCACTCCTTCCTCCTCCTCTCCCAAAGCGGTCTCTGAAAGTCCTGGCACTATGAATAGTACACTCCCGCCTAAGTACTCTCGGATCTTTGCCTACGATGGACTCTACGACGACGATGATGAGAAGGATTGTGAGTTGGTTGTATTTCTTGGGAGTTTCCATTAAGTGGATAAATTATTATCCATAGGTATATAGAGCGTTATAGTATAATGTTCTTTCTCATAAGATATTCAAATAGGAATAGACATGCAGGTTTTGTTGTAGATATGAATGGCAGGTAGATATGCCGAACTTTACTTGTGCCCTCCCTCTTATCCTTTTGTTTTTTTTGAACCACTTGAAGTCATAGCGTTATTTCTATAGTTCTTGGCGATACTTTATAAAGTTACTCTGTCCACCAAAGGTGCTACAATAGCTGTCCGATAAACGCTTTCGACCATTCCCTACTGTTAATTAGTCAGTCTAGATAGAAACAACTGCGCAATAGTAAGCTTCATAATTCTTGACCTCCTCAAGTTACTATTTGCTTTAGCTAGCTTGTATTATTTTCCACCTGTATGAAGTCATTTGAAATGTAATGTAGACCGTAAAAGTAAGCACTAGTTGTTACTTCACGTTGACTTTTCCATTTCACCTGTTTCTAGTGGGCTCACTTCAATCAGAGGGTTCTGTTATCTCCTACCTGATTTCTCAGCTTCGTATCGGTATGGACTTAACCCGCATCACCCTCCCCACTTTCATTCTCGAGAAGCGCTCCACTCTGGAAATGTACGCCGACTTCCTCGCCCATCCCGACCTCTGGATCGTCATTGGCGATGGGCCTACGCCCCAGGCACGTCTCATTGCCTGCCTCCGGTGGTACCTTTCAGCATTCCATGCAAGCAGGCGCACCCCCGTTGCTAAAAAACCTTACAACCCCATTCTAGGGGAGATTTTCCGATGCTGTTACTACATTGGACCTGATGGTCATTCACAATCTTCTGATTCCTCTGTTCACCCAAAACAGGCAGCGTATTCCTCTCCAATTTCCGGTTCCTCCGATGTGGATATTCCACCCAACTTTTCTAACGAAGAGATGGCACGTCATGGACCTATTCCGTATGCAGCTGATGACTGTGTAGTTTTCCTGGCTGAGCAGGTGAATATATTGGGGTCTTTTTCGTGAACTACAGTTTTAATTAAGTCACTAGTTCATTAACAGGTGGATTTAAGATCTACTTCGTGGTTATTTGTATCTATTATCTTGGTAGAGAACGGGCGATTGAATGCATCTACGTTTTTTCCCATCAAAAGTGTTTTCTCATGATAATTTAATTTTCGTCCTCTCTTGTCTTTCCTCTCGTACTCAACAGTAATATGTGTTATTCTGACTTTCCTTTTCATAGGTATCTCACCATCCACCCATCTCTGCCTTCTATGCAGAATACGTCCCAAAGCGCATCCAAGTCTCCGGCCATATCTGGACGAAATCCAAGTTCCTTGGATTGAGTATCGGTGTGGAGATGGTCGGTAGTGCCACAATTGCCCTTCTTGATAGACCAGGAGAGGAATATGTGGTCACATTTCCTTCCGCATATGGACGGTGAGCATATCCTACTGATTGTATCAACTACTGAAGGCTATTTCAGTAGACAAGATTGGTACCCAACATATTTTGACCCTTTTAGCAATATCCTGGGTGTACCATGGGTTGAATTGGGTGGAACTTGTAAAATAAACTGTGCAAAAACTGGATATTCAGCGGAGGTTAATTTCTTAACCAAACCATTCTACGGAGGCAAAAAGGATCAAATCAGAGCTAAAGCTTTTGTCCCCGACAGTGATAAACCCTTCCTCACTGTGGAAGGTGAATGGAATGGCCAAATGACTGCCCGTTGGGCTGACTCCGGGGTCGGTTTTTAGTCAAACCCTTCTTTAAACTACTAAGTCTTTGAATAAGTAGTTTTTCATTTTGATTTATTTTTGTGGCTTTTAGAAGAAGGAGTTATTTGTAGACACCAAAGCTCTTCCAACAATGAAGAAGCAGGTTAGACCGAGGAGTAACCAGTTGCCTAATGAATCTAGAAAGTAAAATCACCTTTTTCATATCACATGTCTTTGCATTTTCTTCCTGATGTTTCTAAGCTTCTCTTTTCGCTTTTTTTTATGGGATGTGGGAGTCAGTGACACTCAATCTCAAACAGGGTAACATCGATGCCGCCACAGACGCCAAATCGTTGCTAGAACAACGCCAACGTCGTGAAGCCGCTGCCAGGTTGGAAGCTCGCCAGCGATGGTTGCCCAGCTATTTCATTGAATTTAATCGGATAGATTCATCTCGGGCTAGCATTGCATCTTCAAATACTCCGGTACTTGGGGATCAAGTCCAGTACAATTTCAAGTGGCCTCTAATTGATCGCCTGTTTGGTTCCACAGAAGTCTTTACAGATGCTTCTAGGACATCCAAGGATGCTAAACAACAGCAGAAATGAGATTCTGGGTTCGCTGTTTATGTAATTTGGACACACACACACACACTGTTGTTTCTGTATCCGTTTGCTTTCCTTATTTTCTTCTTTTGGGTTCTGGTCATTTGAGAAAAGAAATGAGTTCCCTTCCTTTCTCTCTCTTTCCCTCTTTAGTTCATTCACTTCTACGTCCTCCCCCCTCTCTTATATAAACGCATTGCATATGTACATTCAGCTAGAATTTGAAGGAACTGGGTCCCACATTACTTCCTACTTCTGTTCACCTTTCGGGGGAGGGGGGGGAGTGGGGGATGGGGAAAGCGTTTGTCAATTAAGCCATCAAAAACAGTAAAAAATTGAAGCCTTTATAAATGACGAGGAAAGGCAAATAAATTCACCGTATTAGTATCTCGGAATTTATAGGTTGATTTCCACGCCGTGACTATCTGCTCCCTCTAAGACGGCTAACGGAAACATATCGTCGTGTGTTTAGGTGTCGTCTTTATGAGCTATCGCTTAAGATAGATTCCTGAGTCAATAATTCTAATCGCATTGCTGATTGGCTATAGATGAGGAAATCGTATTATTTCAGTCATAAATGGTAAAAAGAATATCCAAATCAATATAGCACTTGGGATAATTACTCAGATAAGGTCAAACAAAAACACAGTCAGGAAACCCAATGTGCTCATTTGCTGCAGTTTCTGGAATATAAATTTCCATTCTCATTGCTCTGTCCGCAGGTTATCCTATTATTAGAGTTGTCTGATGAATAGTGAATGTCTAGGCTTGCGGCCCGATATTTCATTTGGTTTTTGTTAATTTCTTCTATACTATGGTAACTTGATCGTTCATCTCTTGGAGGCCGATTGCAAATGTTCATGTACGATAAATTATTATATCAAATGGCCGGCGTCTTGATGGTTATCATTAGCCCTTTAGTTGACTTCAGGCTTCACAGAGAGGAGAAGGAATATTGAAGTGAGAAAAATTCGAGAGGGGAGGGGGAACAGAAGAGTGGTTCACAGATGTAAAAGAGACAGGTAGACAATGGTAGAAAAAAAGGTGTGGTGAGTACTGTGAAAATTGTGGAATATGGCATACAGTGGGGTGATGGTAGTTTGAAGTGAGAAGTCAACTGCCGGTTAATAGACTTTTTTGCCGTATGTGTATACGTTGCCCAGGGTGCACCACGTGGAGGTAAGTCTATCGCACACCCCTCATGTACGATAAATTGTTAAAAATAAAAGAAATTACTGTTCTCTCAGCTTTGTAGAAGTGGAGTACTGTAGTGGGTATGTTAAAGGGAAAATCTTATTATCATTGCGAGACCTTTGATCAGTGAGGAATTATCTACTAGGTTAACATGATCAATAATGTAATTAAATTTAACACTTCTTTTTTAACTAGAAGTGGTAAAAGAAACTCCCTTGTCGAATTAACAATTGAGTTTTACTGATAGCTTATATCCGTTTCATTAACCATCTATATTCCATTTATATCGAAATGCCTACAGTCAGAATGATAGGTTAAAGTATAAAATGATTTTATCCTAACTCGCACTACGCTTCTAATATCTGAAAGTGTAAGCTGGTGTAAAAATCATTTAATTTATTTATTTCAAATGGCAGGCGTCTTGATAGTAATCATTAGCCCTTTAGCTGACTTCGGGCTTCACAGAGCGGAGGAGGAACATCAAAGTCGAGAGGGGGAACAGTAGAGTGATGTAGCGGACTGCTACCTCAGTAAAGCCTGACTGACTCAGAAATCTCTGTGGCAGATTCTCCTGACTCAGAAATCTCTTTGGCAGATTCTCCTACATCTAGACCGACTCAGAAATCTCCATGGCAGATTCTCAAACATCTAGCTACCGGCTCAGAAATTTCTATGGCAGATTCTCCAACATCTAGCTAGGAATCAGAAATCTCTATGGCAGATTCTCCAACCTCTAGCTAGATCCCAGAACCAGCTAAGCCATAGCCCAGTACAGAGGATACAGACGTGTAGCACGGAACATTTATTCAGTAGCGGAAAACAGACGTGTAGCAAGGAATACGTTTATTCGATACGGAGGAAACAGACGTGTAGCACGGAGCACGTTTATTCAGCACGTATATTGTGGATAAAGTGTACACGTAGGAAGCTTAAACATGATCAGGGTGGCGGATTAGGTTAAACAAACAGAGTTTAATGATTGGTCACTGTTTGTACGGTCGCGCCTCCCAATCCTGGCGTGCAGGCATGCATTGACGTGTACCACAGTGATCTATAGATATAAAGGAGACAGACACAAAGGCAGGGAAAATGTAAGATGAGTACTGTGGAAGGGGTCGAATATGA